GCATTGTTTCACACCCCTGCGGACAGTTCTCTTCCTCGCTGCTGCCGTGACGACCCGAGATCTCACTGTCCTGTAGCAGTGCTGGTGAGTGAGCGTGGAGTGCAAGCAGCCTGTCCATCCCCTGAGGTATGTGTCACTTCATATGTTTCATTCGGGCTCCCCTGTTCATGCACTTGATATCTAAATAGCTGGAAAGTTACACGTACATCCGCTGCAGGAGTCAGTTGAACTGTGAGGTTTATTTGGAAGGCTTAGTAATTATGAGCTGTGGGATGATATCTTCATTGACAGTGATGGAGATACAGTATTTAATCATTTTTAAATATCTATCTTCGGATATTTATCTTGTGTTGTCAGATTTCGAAATCACAAACTACGTATATTAATCACTTATGGGTAACGTCAGGAATTGAAGAATCATGTGTTAATAAAAACTCGAAATAATAATCCCAATTTAAAAGCACACCACAAAGAGTATTGTAACATATTAAATAGGGATATTTTAAGAGCAAAAAAGTTGTATTTTAATAACATTGTAGCAACTTCGAATAATCTGCCTAGGGCAGCTTGGAAGGTCATAAGAAACGCGACCAGAAATGATCATGTATCCACTTATGTAACTTATTTAAAGATAACAGGCAAAAATATCCAGAAATATGAAGACATTGTAAACTCATTTAATAATTTCTTTCTAGATCACAATATGAGATAAAGAAGGATGTGGCTAATTGACAAGAGACCTACAGTTTATTTATGCTTCCTGTTGTATCCCGGGCTGGGAGTACAGGTTGGCAGGGCAAGCAGTCCCTCAGGAGTGTAGTAGGGGTGTCTGTAAGCTGCTGCTGTGGGCGAACTAGTACAGTTAATGTACAAATAACACAGTTAATTTATTACCAGGTATTATACAGAGAGTCCCCCTCGTTGGTGTTTCCACCTTATCGTGGTGAGGGGGTTTGAGTATGCCAAGGACCCTGAGAGCTATACCAGCGGTAGCGTAGCTACTGGCAGGGCCTCCCTTGCTGGACAGGTCAAAGGGTAGGCATCAGACGAAGAGACACAAAAAACTGATGCCGGAAGCAGCGTCATCAGCAGCGACTTGAAGCACAGAACAAATGATGCTCGAGATGGTTCAAGTTCGTATAGCAACAGGCGTGACCAGAGTGGTTTGAACGGCTGCTGTACTGCGATGTGGAAAGCAAATGGAAAAACTACCACATTATCACTTTTCCTGGATAGTCTCTTTCCAAAAACAGAAGATCGCATCAAGTGGAGGAACTGTTTTGGAAGAGACTGTGGACCTGTCGTCTGACAGATTACTGGTGAATGAATTATACAGAGAGTATGACTGCCTTAGCCAGGGCAGTGGCCGACTTTCTAATGAGAGAGACGCACTGTCCCACACATGGGTACAATTCGTCGCTTGAATCAGAGAAGTGCTGAGGGCTGGCAGTTACAGGGTATTTATACAGATTTAAGGATGCCAACCCTCGCTATGTTTTTGGTTTACATGTAACATTTGCTTATACAAAGATGCCGTAGGAGCGGTTTCCCTTTCCAGTACTCTTCCAATGTATTTATGAACTTTGGTGGGTGCTTATGAGTTTCACCCAAAAGGTTTGTAATATTCAATAACATCAGTATTCACTTTCTCTACTTTGCCCCTGACCAAGGCTCGGAATAACAACGAGCGTGTGTTGTTCACAAATAGTTTACACAAGATTCCATTTCTGCATTGATAATAACATATGTATGGCTATTGGCTTTTCAATAAACATTTATCTGTAATTAGTAATTCCTGTACTTGTAATAATAATTTATTGCGCTCATTGCGCCTATAACAACCCCTCGCCCCTTAGAAGAAGACAATTTACACCTTAATTGGGCTTAAAAATAGGATTTTCCTCTCTTTATTCTCTTCGACCTCCGAAGTTCTGGGGGACTGCCATGACTGTGCTCTGAACCTCCGCCAATAGTCTGTAATGGAATTGCTTTGGGGTTTAGTGCTAAACTCTCATTACTCATTTTTATTTTAATGTTAACTACATTTCCTTTTCCACTTGTTCCCATAGGAAGACTCAGTCTTTGTTCAGATGTGGCGGTCCTTTCCCTGAGTACTGTACACTTCCTCCAACGAGCGATTAGCCATTTCATTAGTTTATACAATCCATATAATATTATGACAGTTATAGCTATATACATTAATACGGAATAAGTCGTGTGGTGTGTAAAATGTTTCCTCTTCCACTCTTGTTCTTCCGCCAACTTTTCTAGTTCCGAGACTCTGTAACTGGCATACTTCAAGTCTTCCATATGCGTTACCGTCGGTCTCAGTGTCATAAGCAACTCAATGTGACTTAAATTAATGGAAGTTTCAAATCTTTCACAGCACTCAAATTGTGTTTCTACCTTAGATAATAAATCTCCATAATTTCCTGTATAATTCACCTGAATTTCATTTGTTGTAATTAGCAAAGCTGTTACACTATATGCTTTACATCCGGAATCTATTTTCAATTTTCCAGTACCCCTTATTTTTATTTCCACTGGTTCTCTTTCGTGGCACACAACTGTAATGCCATCACTGACTGGTATGAAAGAAACCCATTCATTCCTGTTCTCCGATTGCGTCCAGATGGTGTGTTCCACATGAACAGGTCTTATATCACAAACATTTGGGATTCTTGCTTGGGGGTGTAACAATTTCACTTCACAAGATTCCTGCATATGGCTATTTAGAAGTGGTTGACCTTGCTTATACAAGTAGCGATTTGGTTGTGCTAATTTACACAGTCTCAGTTCCTCTCTGCTTATCAGGAAGTAATACTGTCTGGTCTGGTGAATACATAAGACGTTGTTACTTGGTTCGATGTACCCAAACTTATTCCTGTCTACTTCTACGGGTAATGGTATTAGTTTAAATGCCTTGAATATACCCGTTAATTAATGGTAAACGTATTATATAACTCGGTATTCCATTCCTTAAGTATATATGTACATCACATATTGTCAATAATATATTACTGGACTCCTTGCTCAGAGTGAACGGTGCCATGGTGTCTTTTGGAAACATGGAAGCACTATTCTGTAAGGTTTCTATCAGCAATTTTGGTGACACTATCTGGGGTTGTAAAATACCGTTTTGTGCGTTTAATACGTTCTCTGTCATTAAATTCAAATTTCTCTGAATGGCCCCCATAGCATGATTAACGCGAGTGATGTGCTCTTCTACCGTGATCTTTACATCTAATAGGTTCAGTTTGGTTTCCGTATCAGTGGAAAACTTCTCCATATAACCTTTTAATTTGTTACCCCTTTCTTGATCACCTGGTTATTATATTCCATATCGGATATAGTGCTATTTACGGCTCCCAGTGAAGCTCTAACTATTGAAAGTTGTTGTTTCAACATGCTGGCCGTATCTTCCGATTCTTCTTCAAAATGTTTAATCTGGGCATTATAGTATTCAGCATCATCGGCGTCTGAAGTCCCAAATAATACCTTACTAATTTCGCCTACAAAGTTTAGCCCTTAGTTCACAAAGTTACTGCTAGGCTGGTAACCCCTTTTAACGTCATTTATTCCTCTATACAGGTCTCTAATGTTCTTGCTCTTACTGCTTATTGCAATCTCATCAATTTTTTCTTTCAGATATTCCCTCTTTTTGTTCCTGAAATGCCTCCTGCTGGTTTCACATGTTATATTGTTCAGATTATCCCCATTTAACTCGCTTGGATTCTGTAACCACTGCAATTTGGCCTGCTTTCTTTGGTCTAATAATTTTGAGCATCCTTCATCGAACCATGGCTTATGCTTCTTCAGTTCATAATAACCTAGACTCTTTGGCAGATATTTTTATATTCTCTCTTATAGTTTCCCAAGTTTTATTAACATCCACCTCAGTGTCCAAGTTTTCCAATCCCGCAAACCTATTTGAGATTTCTACAAGATACTGGTCTTTACCCTCTACCTCAGGGCCTGAAATGTTTGGTACTCCAAACTATGGCTAGGAGTTACTTCTCACTCGTGGTATAGTTTCTTTCTGCCATATTTAAACTTCTACTGGCATACACGATGGCGAGTTCCCTTCCTATTGGACCCTGTGCTAGCACTCCTATGCCCTCATTACTGGCATCGGTACTCAAGACAAATTCTTTAGAAAAATCTGGGTATTGCAATATTGGTTGTGACGTCAATTTTCGTTTCATTCTTTGAAATGCTTCCTCCTGTTCGTCCAACCACTCAAATTTGGCATTCTTCTTAAGTAATAAATGCAGTGGCGCTGCAATCTGGCTGAATTTGGCAATGAATTTTCTATAGTAACTGGCCATACCCAAAAAGCTCTTTAATTGCTTAGTTGATTCGGGGCGTGGATTATTCTCAATGACCTCTACGTTCTGGGGGTCGGGTCGCACTCCATCCTCTGCGATTATGTGACCTAAATAACCCACTTCTGTGCGCAGAAATTCACACTTGTCTGGTTGGAGTTTCAAATTATATTTCCTAATTCTTTTGAAAACATCCCTTATTTTGAAGAAAGCAGTCTTTTGGGATTTGGCACTGTGTATATGTGGTGGTATGATCTGCATTTACCGTTCTCACGGTCTTGTCGCTTGCTGATTTATTATACTTTTTCTTCTACCCTGAAGATGGAGGCGATACGTTCCTCCGAAACGTCGGTTAACACCACTTATACACGGTGCCAAATCCCAGAAGACTGCTTTCTTCATAGTCACCGCCGTGAAAGCCTCAAATCTACATAAGTATATTCTTGCTAGGACCTGTCATGTTTAGTTGAAGGAACTCAAACCCATGACAGCTTTGAAGCAATCAGCAACTTCACTAAATCTCGATTAGCTTTCCTTTTGTATTACAGTCTGTTTGCCACATGAGAGTGTGAAGTATCAGTGAGGCCCTTGTAATATGGGATCCGTGTTCACAGAGCAGTTAGTAGGAGATGCAACAGATGTCGCGGGCTCCTGTCGGGTTTACAAGGATGTCTGCATTAGGTGGCAGCACCGCTCAAGGCCCTAATACTGATTAAGTTTTCTGTAGATTCTGCAGTGGTACTTGGTAGTTAATTGTAGTAAAGCCGTAAAGTTGTGTGTTGTTGTCTTTAATGATTTAATGATGGTGTTCAATGCTTCAGTACTTGAAATATAACATTTACAGTCGTCATATATGCAAATTATGGTTGCGAACGGAAAATTTACACTGTTGTGATGTAATGTCGAAGCAGCATTCAAGTAAGAAATCCAAATTTGTGAGTATCTTTTGGTTACCAACGAAGCAGCGTGATTTAGGTATGGTTATGGGATTTAAGTTTTGAAATGGTACCATTATTTTGGAAGGTTGATACATAATTTTTTAAACTGTGCGTAATGCCACCACCACTTTTGGTCCAAGTAAACATTACTATGACTGGCGTTTATTTGACACAATTGGGCAAAATCACTACGAATAAAAGAAGTAGCCAAGGAATGTTAAGTGTTCGGCTCCGTAGACTTTTATTTCGCATTTTGAATTTGTGAAAGTACAGATTATGGTAAACTGTATAGCATCAGTGAAAGTGGTCATGACCCAACTTGAGGTACTGTCCTGCCACTGAATTATTCTAAAGAGGAGACATACCCACAGAATGGCCACGTATTATAGCATATCAGAGTGGTTCTTCAGGAACTGATAATCACACTGACAATCGAGAAATGTCAGCTTTTTAAAAAAAAATGGATGGGCAAGTTTTCAATGCATTTTAATCATCTGTAGAAGCATTAGATAGTAGATAGCTGTGATTCCTGAAGTATATAGGAAATATGTGCAGCGTTCTTGCACCATATTTTTTCTCTGCTTCACAGTGTCGAGACTGTATATTGGGCCCACCCAAGCACTTGTCCATTGTGTAATGGGGAGGGGGGGATCTTTACCTGGAGGTAAGTAGCTGTGACATGAAGCTGAACAGTGACCTCCAGTTAGTGTTGAGGTTAAGAATGCATAGCACTGTACATCCACTTCTACATGGATCTTTATGGTGTCATGATTACTTTTGCGCTGGTTTTACCTGGTCATACCACTTGACACTGTAGTGAGAAGTGCTTACAGCATTGCTACATGAACCATAAATAAGTAAACACATGTAAGATTTGAGGTTTTCACGGTGGTGACTATGAAGAAAGCAGTCTTCTGGGATGTGGCACTATGTATATGTGGTGTTAACCGCATGTTTGGTACAAATTGGTATATGTCCAGTGGTAAAATTTTTCATGTTTTAGGAGCTCACTCAGAAGTCACAACCAGTCACTGATTCTGCGGTATCGACTGACAAGGTTGGGAACGTAGTCATTAGGATTCAGGCAAAGCCTGGTGCCAAACAGAATGCAGTAACAGGTACATCATTTTGGAATAAAAGTGTGCATGCTACAGAAACCGTAGTGCTATGTTTCTCAAACGTATTCCAGCATTGTGATAGATTCAGAAGTCTCAGGTTTTCACAGTGGTGAATATTAGGATAAAAATCTTATGGGTGTGATGTTATATAGTTTTGTAGATAAGTATCAGTATTTCTGAGGAGTCTATTGCCTCCATCTTCATGGTAGAAGAACAGCATATGTAATGATGGAGGCATCAGGTTCCTCCAAAAGGTCACTTCTTTACCACATTACATGGTGTTCCATTGAACTGTGCCTCCCCCCCTTCTCTCGCTCTACTCTTCTACTCGCGGTCCACAGTACCGCTAATCGTACTTTCCTCTACTAGCACATCAGAGATAGAATTCAGGAGGAGCAGCCATCATCTCTGGCTCTGTTGTCTCGTTCACAAGCTCCCCAGGGTGTTCTTGGGGTATCCAAGCATTTACGGAGGAGATAATATATATGCAGGCTTTTAAAACAAGGAGTAACAATATTTAATGGCCTACATAATAAACGAAAGTCACACATAATATACAGAAATAAAGAAAACAAGGCATAAAACCTTTTTTGGCAAGGCACCACAACCAAAAGTAGCGATTGCCCAAGTAATCACATATATGGACAGTCGTAACAAGTAGAAACCCAAAACTGCCCCACTTGCCCCTGCCTCATTAGACCATCGAACAGGTTACACCAAAATTCGGCAGAAACAACAACAACAGTAATAATAATACAAAAAGAAAGCACGTTCACAAGTGCACTGGAATCAAGAATATTCCATTCTGACTGCGGGCAGCCTTACTCTTACCAGCCAGACCGAAGACTCTCCAAACATAATTTAGAATTACAAAGTCTGAAACACAAATTCAGTCCCAAGTTCTCTGGCTGCCGGTAAGCAGCAACTCGCGAGTAGGTCTACCTTCAGACTGCTAACACACCTACTCCCTTCCGAGACAATAATGGAGTGGGAAGGAAGGTCACGTGGTCAAGATAGGTAGAAATAACGGTAAAGACGTCAGCATAATGCCGGTGGGGAGGGGGGTTAAGGACTGGCAATTACATACTCTTAGTACCTCATTCCAGAAGACCATAACATAATTATGATGCCTTCTCGATCTTATCTGCAAGCATTCCACTGATATCACTGAATGTACCGTATTACTTTGAATACAAGACGCCCTTGAATTTAAGACGCATCCAGTTTTTGAATGTGCGCTTTTGGAGAAAAATTATAAAGGTGCACGTTACTTGAATTTAAGATGCATCTCGGTTTTTCAATGGTAAGAAATGTGTAAAATGTGCATCTTATGTTCGAAGTAATGTATATTAGTTACAAATAGATTGCGCTAATGATTGTCTCTTTAATTGCATTGCAAGCATTTCTGCATGGGCATGCTTGTATGTTGTGAAATTAAAGTTTATGTGAAGATTGTGCAGAGGTATCGTTAAAACCCGTACAGAGACAGGATGTGACACTGTAAAATTAAGTGTCATGATATTGCTGTGCATTTGCAGGGCTAGAATCAAGCTTCTTATAACAAAACAGAAAAGGAAAGTGTAAAAATTAATGTTTGGCGGTATTCTTGCTAGAGATTGGAACCGAGGCTGTGGGTGTTCAGATCAGTGCTCCACCTGTGGAAGGAGAGGCAAACACAGAACTCGTCAAGTATATGGCAGCTGTTCTTGGGATCAGGAAAAGTGACGTTTCACTAGACAAGGTAGGGATAATGCAAATATTCTGAAAAATGTATCAATTACTGATTCCGTCTATTCTAAATTCTTGAGGCATAACCTCATGTAATTTATAGGTATGTCATAATCTATCTTCCTACCAAATTTAACGTTTATAGCTGCAGTGTTATTGCAGTGAAACTGGAAACTAAACAAAAATTTCTGCATGGCTATCACGCTGTATGTTCTGCAAGTTCTTATCTCAACAGAACTGCATAATTTTCGAATGTCTGTTACCATACATAATTTCCGTAGTGTGCATAATAGCTCAGTTACTGTGGTGATGAACTGTGGGCTGGATGCTGAGAATTCAGGTTTAATTCCTGGCAGGGCAAGAGGTTATTCCTTCTGTACAGTGTCCGGACCAGGCTTGGGCACTGGGAGCTCTTCATGAGGATAAAGTGGCCAGGGTGTGAAACTGACCACTCACCTCCATCTTGTGTGCTGAGCTGTATTTTTGTTTCCCCATGTGTGTAAATGGTGTGGTGCTTAATTAAGCACTTGGATTTTACCTTTACATCAGGTAAGGTAAGGTAAAGTCATCCCTGTGATTAACTAATTAAGCACTACACCATGCAGCTGTATTGGGGAGTTGATGTATAGTTCCACATTTTCTTCACCTCGGCTCTAGTTGGAGGTAAGTGGTCAGCTTCACTCCCCTGCCACTTAACCCCAGGGAAAGAGCCCCTGGTACCCATTGGATAGGAGGCTGGGTGGGCCCCAGAGCCAGTCTGGATGCTGTGGAGAGGAGAAAATTCTTGACCCTACTGGGACTTGAACTCCAACCCCTCAGTTGTCCGACACATAGCCAGTCTCTATATCAACTGCGTTATCCCAGCTTTAACCTGTACATAAAGTGGCGGTAATGTCAGTCTCACCTCACAAGTTCACAAGTTTGCCATGTTGTTAACACTGTATGTAGGACATTGAAGTATATTAGGTTTGACTGGCCTGCAGTGGCATGGTGTTCAAACAACATGGGAAAATTTATCTGTTGGATTGAAAGGTGAAAGAGTTTGACGTAATGGGACACGTACACACAGATGCGCGTATGTGGTGAGCTGATGACATTTTTCCATTTTCTCAGAGGTTCCTGGATGTTAGCAGAGTGAATCAGGAACGTTTGCTCTCTACTGTCAGATACAACCCTGACATATGTTTGTGGTGCTACGGAAGGGGTTTCGCATGATTTCTGAGGCTTACACATCAGTGACTATAAATATTGATGTCTTCTGAGATGAGACACAATCCTCTGTAATGTCGGTATTTAATAGCTCAGGATTGAAGGTGTTTTCACCTCTTTTAACATTAATTTTCAGTGATTGAAGTTGAGTGATTTCAGTTCTGAAGTTCCTCCATTTAAGATTTTCCTCAGTTTAGTGTTCAGATCGCTGCTCCTCAAAGAAGCATTGAGTGTGTGTTACACTGCATTGTGCCATAATGACATAACCTGTTTCTTTCTTCCATTCCCTCAGTAATTACAATTTCATGGTGCACTCATCACATTTTTTATGTCACGCTCTTTTCAGTAACACCACATGTTGTTATGTAGCTTCCTGCAGTTTGCCCTTTTCCGCTATTGTAATATGTAATACAATGTTTCAGGATCTCAGCCTGTTGCTGTCCTCAGGTGAGGGTTCTTACTCCTTTGGTTTCATTAGGAAGAACTGATCTTACTCATATTCTGTGATGTGGATCAGTTCTTTACAGTGGACCCAGTTGAATAGGTACACCACACTTGGGGACCAAAGCAGATCAGATTCTGAGATGTGCTCAGGTGAACGACAAAGTCCACGAAGTTAGCTACTAATACTAAGTGCAGTTGATTCCTGGAGATATTACCATTTAAATTAAGTAAGAAATATGTGAGCTTATAGCAAAAAGACTACTGAATAACAGTTAAAATTATGGTTTTAGGAACAATATGGTTTGTGTTTTATTTTTAGGGTTCTCGGTCAAGACAGAAGACAGTTGTTGTGACACATGGCACTTTGACAGCTGAGGAAATAACGGAGAAGTTAAAACAAGAACTGAAAACTAACTGAGAAGATCCATCACTGTGTTCCATTTGTTGTGTCGTGCCTTCAGGTGAGAGTGTGGTGCAGTGTGGTGCAGTTTCTTTCAATTTTCTGTGTTGCTTGCCTGAACAGCGGCAGGTGACGACGGTTTGCTTGCAGTGTTCTGAGTCAGTGCATACTTGCAAGATACCGTGATATTATCACAAGATGGGGTGACACATTCGGAACAGTGTCTAGAAGTGGTCTGGATAACCAAGGTCAATTCACAAGAGTGTCCCCCATAAAATTTGTTTGTTGCATGACAATTCACATTCAATGCTTGACCAAAATGCTTACAAATTCTGAAATTTGAGGTTCTCATGGTAGTGACTGTTAAGATTCTTGTCTTCTAGGATGTGATGCTGCCAAGTTTGGAAGGTACATACTATCGTTTTGGGTATCCTTGCTTTGTCTGTCTTAAAGGTAGAAGCTTCTTCCTTCAAGATGGAAGCAGCGAGCTCCTAAACATTGGTAAGTGTTTATCAAACTACACGGTACCACATCCCAGAGGACCATAGTCTTAATGCAGTGTTATGGTTTTACAGTGCAGCATGGATCTCATGAAAGTTGAATGTGGTCAAGATGGCGAGTTGTGTGAGACACCTGGCAGAGAGTGTTGTCTGATTGAAGTAAAAGAGGAGATGGATCCATTGCTAACTTTTTCAGAATTGAAGACAGAAGCTGAAGTAAGTTGTACATCAGTTGTTTCCGAGACATGTAACAATAAAACATTTATGACCATCTAATTAATGGTGTCTTCTTTGATGAATATTTATAAGTCCCCGATGTTTCATAGTTGTTTTGTAATTTTTCATGCTGTGTGTCATTATTACAGTGAGGTGAATGTTTCAATGATATTAAATATCTGTTGGTCTGGTGTCTGAGCAGTTATTTTTAGGCTCTGTACTGGTTTAAGATGGATGCTGCATTAAATATGTTATCATCCTCATTTCTGTCTTGCGAGATTAATACCATCAGTAAACTTTTGAATAAGCTTTCAGTTGAAGAAGTACTCGGAGAAAACCTGCCCCAGCGCCACTTTGTCCACCACAAATCCCACTTGACCAGACCCGGGATCGAACCCGGTCTGCTGTGGTGGGAAGCCAGTGACTAACCGCTTGAACTATGGTGCGGCCCTTGGTATTCCCTAAGGCTGGGGCCACACGAGCACACAAAATGCATCCGTTGTAACGAACATCGTGACGTCCGTTGTAGAAATAAACAAGAGAGGCGAATGCTACGTTTTCTTCTGGCTCCATTGCAGACAAGAAACTATGAACCGCATTCTGCAACTGTGTAGTGTCCTCAGCAACGTCCGTCATAAAGTACGTTCATTGCAACAGATATACTTCGTGCACTCGTGTTGCCCCAGCCTAAATAAGAAAGAAGGGTTGGGTGACTTCTGTTTATCTACCCTTAATGACTCTGTATAGTGTCTTGAGATGGTTCTTGTGGTTCAGGTCATTTGATTGAAAATTCGCCCATTACCAGGAGCATAACTCCCACCTAAAATAAATTCTGGGACAAAGATGAGTTTACAAGGTGTGGCAATAAAGAAACCGGATTCATGCTCTAACCCTTTATTAAAAAAAAATCAGACAGTCGAAATGTTATCCCCTTNAGAAAATTTCTTGAGTTCTGCTTTCTCAGGAAAGTAAGAACTCATACTGTTCCATAAATGGTTCATTGCACATGAAAGAATTGACACAGTTGACATTTTTCATAAAGCTGGCCAAATTCTGCCTTTACCTCTGTGATAGACATATTTAATTTCTGTGATTTCTGTAATACCAGTATGCGGAAGTTAGTCTGCAAATAGAATTGAATGTTGGTTGTTATGTAGGAATATAGGTACATATTCCACAATGTTTGTAGTTTCTGAAGTGTCATTATTAGTACATTAGTACATTAGCCAATATTATGAACATATGTGCACATATTTCATTGCCTATTCTGCATATAAGATGGCTTACATCGAAACATTTTAACTGACTTCTGGATTTCTGAATTTGCAGAATTATGATCATGAAATATGAATTACAAATTTTTCAGCACAACATGAATACAATGAAAGTGGAACAGATGTACATATGCATCCCCACACATCTTCACTGAATGTGGAAGATTTCAATAAAGTAGAAGAGGTTACTTGTGTGTCATCAATATTAAATAAAAAAAAATGATCTCAGGTGATCCATGATCCATAGCATATATGAGGGAATCAAATTAAATTTTCTGTCCTGACTCATACTAATGTCCTAATTTTGCAGCATGTGAAAGTCCACATGAATGCAAAGGCTAATTCAAACAAAGAGAGTGAATGTAAGCACATTGACGTAAAGGAAGAGAAAGATCCTTTGTTAATAATAGTACCATTTATGAAGGCTGAAAATGAGGTGAGTTGTGTCTCCTTTTGTCATTAAGCACTTTTAAAAAATGTGCAGGAATGTATTGAAGACTTACTTCCAGAATGTATTAGTCAAATTAAACATTGGTCTTATTTTCGCTGGACTGACACTTTCTGTGATATATAAAGTTAAATTTGTAAGCATTTTGAGAAGTTAATTGAAGGGCATGCATTAAAAATGCTTGTAGACTTTCATAAGTTTTCATGTCTGCTGTTCCTCTAATGCTGCTTGTGACATTTCTCCTACTCAAGTAATTTGTAATATATCATTTTCAAGTTGCAGATGCTTTAAATTTTCAAGTAGTGTTAATGTTCTGTGAGACAATTGTATATTGACTTCTTGTGTAAACACTAATTACTTAATATGAAAATATTCTCTTCCCATTTTACGTGTGTCACCCATCTCAGCGTCTGTATGCATCTCATTTTGTTTTCTCCAGTGAAGTTTTGTGCACTGTCATTAAGTTCCGTTGACTGCAATGAATATTATTATGCAAATTATAATGAGACTAGAACTCCAATAAAGAACTCAAAATTATCCCAGATTACTTGACTTGGTTCATCTTGGTCCATCCCAATAGCAGTAATATAAAATGACTTGTAGCACCATCCAGCGTGATTAATTTATAAAAGTCGAATTACAATATTTCATTTTTCTTATCATGTTTTGGTTGTGTTGACCATCTTCAGAAGGACACAATCAACATTTATGAAACCACTATTACGGTGTCATTAGTATATAAGAGTTATACCTTGTAACTACATTAAGTATATGAAGTGGTTGGAATATTTATAGGTTATTATAATTAAATTATTTACACAGTGAAGTATTAAAAGTAAAGTTATAAACACTTTTTTGTTAAAACTAGAACCAGTGGTTCGTGTCTTGAAATATCTTCTCATTAAAGGAAGAATGCCTTGAGTGTCGTGGTCCTGTTGTGCAGAGCACTTTGTGTTGTACTATGTACTATAGAGGTTTCTTTGTGTAATTAACCTCACTGCGCTGTATTCCTATGAAAAATTTTCATTGCTTTCTCTTGTTAGGGGTTTGTTATAACCAAAGAAGAGGAATGTCCATTCAAAATAAAGACTGAATCAGGAGAAATTCATGGTACAACAGAAGAAGACATGGATAATGGACAATATACATGTGATATTTGTGCCAAACCATTAACGTGTTCGCAGAGACAAGGTGTACAAATTGGAAATCATTCATATATATGTGATGTTTGTAAGAAACCTGTTTGCCATCAGATTCCCAAAAGTGTTTCTGTACACAACCGGCAAAATTCTTTCTCTTGTGATATGTGTAACAAGTCGTTCAACTGGCGGAGTAACCTGAGGATTCATCAACGCCTACACAGTGGGGAGCGTCCGTATTCTTGTGATGAGTGTAATAAGTCATTCTATGATAGTAGTGGCTTGAAGAGACATAAAGTCATACATACTGGAAAGCGTGCATATTCCTGTGATATGTGTGCAAAATCATACAGACAACCAGGTAATTTGAAGATACATCAACGTATTCACACTGGAGAGCGTCCATATGCTTGCAACGAATGTAGTAAATCATTCAGGCGTCAGGCTTGTTTGAAGAAACATCAAGATACACATAGTAAAGAATGTCCATATTCTTGTGATGTGTGTAAAAAGTCTTTTAGACAGCTGAATAATCTGAAAGCACATCACCGCATTCATAGTGGAGACCTTCCTTATGCGTGTGGTATGTGTAGTAAATCATTCAGTCAAAAGATTAGGTTGAAGGAACACCTAGGCATACATAATGGAGAGCGGCCATTTTCTTGTGATGTGTGCAAGAAAGCATTTATCCGTTTGGGTAATATGAAGATACATCAACGCATTCACAGTGGAGAGCGTCCATATTCCTGTGATATATGTAATAAATCATTCACACAAGTGAATAATCTGAAGACGCATCTACGTGTTCACACTGGAGAACGTCCATACTGTTGTGATTTGTGTAAGAAATTATTCAGATCTCTGTCTGCTATGAAGGAACATCAACGCATACATACCGGAGAGCGTCCACATTCTTGTGATGTTTGTAATAAATCATTCAGATCTCATTATAATCTGAAGGAGCATCTACGCGTACATACCGGAGAGCGCCCATATTCATGTGATGTATGCAGTAATTCATTCAGTCGGGTGAGGTATCTGAAGGCACATCAGCGCGTGTATTCTGGTAGTTGTGCTTATTCCTGAAAATTTGTGTAATGAATCATTTGGAAATCAAGAGTAATTTGAAGAGTATCAGTGTATATGTGTTGCAGGAAATTTACTGTTTACTAATTTTTCTGATTAAATTTGTTAATACAAGTTTAAATATTAAAATGCAATTTAATGAAACAGAAAAGAAATTAATTAATTTATACCATATGCTACTGGTCAGCAGTGTATAAATATATCTGAAATAAAAAGGTGCCAAATATTCCCAAAAACATGTGTTCACCATACTCAGTAAATCAGGAAAATATTTATCAGGTTCAGAGTATGGTTTCCTTTGGCCATACAGGTAGCTTAGTGAAACTTACCTTGTTGGACAGTTACAATAGAAAACCATCCAACTGCTTCCTTCCTGCCATCATATGTAATCTAACTGCCACTATCCAACTTGCATGTCGGATGCTGTTTGACCTAGAGCCCATTGAGAAACAGGAAAAGTATCTAAAAATATATAAAGCAACTTAGTTGAGTCATCAGCTTAACCTCAGTATGGACACTACCAATATTATGATAAAATTTACTGCAAGCATCAAATGTATATCAAAATAGAAAATTAGTAATAATGAACTAATTTTGTAATACATATGTGTGATTAAGAAATTGAATCCATTGTGATGTAATTCAGTCACATGATATTAAGGATTAAAGAACTGTCATGATGTATATGAAAGCACTGAGCTTTCGAAACCGTTCCCATCATGAAACAAGTCATTTCAAAAGACTGTTATGACACCACTTTTCTCTAAAGAATTTACTGTAACTACATATATATCGCGTTCTGAAACTGATTTGTATCACCAAGAGTCCACAAATGCGTAAAAGTGATATTTTATTACTTTTCAGTTTCATGTAGTTGTAGCTGTTTTTTTCTGCCCTGCCATGGCTTTCTGTGATGTGATGCCTTGGTTTGAAATTTCTTATCAGCATCAATATGTACTGCATTTAAAGTCTTGCTTTATTTTGATAACAATTTGCTATTGATACAGTTATGATGTGGATGGGTAAAAACAGGGCAGGTTGAAACATACTGCAATAATATAAACAAGGTTTAAATGAACTTATTGTCACTAGTGGTTTACAAATTGTGGTTGTTTGTGAAGACCAGGTAACTGTAGATCTATATGTGTATATAAAGACTTATTTATCATCTTGAGCAGTTTATTGGTATGCAACTAGTTGGAATTTCCCTCATCTAACAAATGCAAAAGCTTCAATCCACGTGATATGTTTACTGTCTGTCTGACACCAGTTTTGAAGTAATACCATCCTCAGTTTGATCTCTGGAACGGGTTACTCACTTGAGGATTTTAATCACATATTTTTGGCGTATTCTGTATCTCATGTGTATACCTATATTGGAGAATAACAAAAATGAGGCACAACTTCTTGTTTCTATGTCCTTCATTATTATTCTGTTTATATTCACCTCATTTCTAATTTTGTAAACTTACTTAACTTTGTGGCTTGAGTCTGCAAGTGAACTATACTGACCGGGTTCTATTCCCGGCACTACCAAATTGTCAGAAAAGTCTGGAAGGGGATCCACTCGGCCTTATGAGGATAATTGAGGAACTATTTCAAGGAATTAGCGGCTCCGGTCTAGAAAACCGAAATTAATGGCCATGGGGATTCGCTGTGCTGACCATGCGACACACACTATCTGCTAAAGTTGGCACTAACTTCGCTGACAAGCAGCGGTTGCTTGGTCGGTAGCATATATCATTTACTTACTTACTTACTCATGGAGCTTAGCCCTTCTTTACTAAAGAAAAAATGTAGGGACAGTTGAGTTACAGTACAATGAAATAACAGGGAACAGGAGTCAGCTCCTGACTGGTATTTGAACCAGATGCAGTATGAATAGAAGTATGGTGCAATGGGTGAAACAAAAGGTAGAGCTCAGAAGTTGTTTGAATAATTTGCTGGGGAAGATGAATAATTTCCACTGAATGTCATGTGTTAGCACAAGGTATTGTCAGGCAAAACCTACTCAGTAATACTGTTCTACCCCAAATATAGATATTGTTATGTGATTGCGTGACTATACACGGGGCCTGAATTGATGATTGACTTTGCTGAACACTTACACATGCACCACAGAGATATTGGGTTTTCGGACTTATCCATCGTCCTGGTTTTAAGATAACTAAGAAAAACACGACGTTTCAGAAACTTGATCTGTTTCTGTCCTCAGGTGAGGGAAAACACACAGAATAGGTGTTTTCCCTCACCTGAGGACTTCATCCATTGTCCTGGTTTTAAGATAACTAAGAAAAACACAATGTTTCGGAAACTGGATCTGTTTCTGTCCTCAGGTGAGGGAAACAGATCCAGTTTCTGAAACGTGTTTTTCTTAGTTATCTTAAAACCAGGACGATGGATAAGTCTGAAAACTCAATATCTCTGTGTGTTATACACCATTGTCAGAATCCTATAGTAACTACTTACACATGCAAGCCTGACTACAAGTAACTATAACAGCCCTGCTGGTTTACACACGTAAAGTCTTTTCAAAAGATCTTAATCATCACAACAAGCATCAAGCATCACAACACACAGACAAGCAACATCAACTACCGACAGGTAAGGTTATTGAACCTTAAAAGTATATACACATAAAAACTTATATAATACAATCTAAATAAAACCACAATTTTTATTTACAGACAACACACGTCAACAACATCCCGAAGCAAAAAGATTGGGCCAAGCGGGAAAGAATTCTAGGGATTTTAAGAATTCTTACTTCAAATAACGAAACATAATTTTACAGAATTAACGACGAATCAAATAAGAAAGCTACTGTGGTGTGTGAAAAACTTTTAGTGAACCGACACTCTGGGTAATTTTAACTATTTGTAATTATTTTAATTAACTGGAACGTGGCTATCTTGGACAAAGTGAAGTTTTGTGTGTTGGTGATTTCTTTTTCTACTATAAATGCCTCTGATGATGGCTCCGTGGTGAGCCGAAACATGTAAGGCAGGTGGTGACGAGGCGGAAAACTTAAAAAAGTGTCACATTTGACGGAAGGAACTTGATTGTTGATCTTAATATCCTCTGCTAATGACATTACCGGCTGGCAAATATCCCACAACTAACTAAACTCTGAACTTGTCCTGTTTATAACTCCTTGGCATGGAGCGCATAGAAAACACCCCTGCTTGTTGTTGTAATTCAGTCGTTTCCATGGGAAGATGTTTGTTTGCAAAGGTGTTACTCAGTAACAGCTCTTAAATATTTGCTTATCTGGCTGTTGTTGCTCGGTAGTGGGTTCACATGATACAATATTATATCCTCCTGCATTTTATTTCTTTAAAAGCATTAATGAACCTCTGTAAGGCAGCTGGAAGATGCCACAGTTACACCAGAGAACTATTAGCCAGTTGACTTCAGGGTTCTTGTTTGACTTCAGCCTCCATGGTGATGCTGTGCATGGCTCCAATTGACAGTGCCTTACTTGATGGTTCTGTGGATTCTGGAAGACAAGAAGAAGAACAACAGAAAAATATTAAATCCAGACACACAGTGAAAAACAATTGAAAAAATGAGTGTAAATTTCATAGCGACAGTTTAGAGCAACGTGTATATCTGTATGACACCTATGTGAATTGCGGATCTGCTGGAAACTGCGGGTGAAAGTTTCAATGTAAATTTTTTGTTGTAAGAGTTCCCAGCCGAGAAACAGTTAATAATTTGTCAAATAAACTTAGAACAATGGGACTTTTAAGTGCTGAATGCTTACTGAGAAGTTAGATGACATAGGGCCCTGACTTAACATACACCTAGAAAATCACTGAAACATCTAGCTCAAGAGACTGCACTATGTCATGGAGGCATATGGGGGAGTGGATGTATAGAGCCATATTTTCTTGACCTCAGTACCATTTGGAGGTGAGTGGTCAGTTTCATGCCCTGGTTGCTTTACTCCCAGGGAAAGGGCCCCCCGGTACCCATTGGATAGGAGGTTGGATGGACCCCAGAGCCGGTCTGGATGATGTGGAGAAAAGAAAAATTTTCATCCTCACGGGACTTGAACTCATACCCGTCAACCATCCAGTCTGTAGCCAGTCGCTATACTGACTATGCTGTCCGGGCCCCTACATTTTAAAGGTTAACAAATTAAAATTTTGTAATGCTACATGACAAGCAACTTTTAAATCACCTTACTGTTAGAATGGTCTTCCATTACTGTCAGTAGTTAAGTGTGCTGATGAGTATTTACTTTTAAAGCACAGAAACGTTTGTCCCCTTTTTGTGATTTTGTCACAAATAATAATATTACTATAACAAGCATGCAAAAATCTGATTCTGTATAAAATGGTTGCAATTGAAATATGTCCTAATTCAAGTAATGACTTAGCTCTCTTGTGGTTGATGAGAATATTGTGATTTTGCAGAACACCTTGGATTTCGTGAGATTGAACATCAGTCAGATAGTGAAGTGTTTCCAACTTCATATCATGATAACCTCACAGATGGAAAAATTGAAGAGGGTTCACAAAAAGAAGTGGAGAAGGATCCCATATTAATAACATTACCCGAAGTTAAGTCTGAATGTGAGGTGTGTACATATACACAATATTAGACACATTCCACTAATATAGCAGTTAGATTTTGTTTTCAAGACATCTATCCCTCAGTTTATCTGTTCACATGGAAAAAAGTGCAACATTTTTAAACAGATTTTGAAGACATGACTGAATAGAGTTTGCATTTTAGTGGAATGCTACTTTGAATTAATTAATTTTTGCAGTATATTTCACCGGATATTAATAAGCCGTAGTCGCAGAAGGCCTGTTCATAGGTCAAGCATCCAATTAGAACCTTCATCAACTTGTTGTGTTTGTATTTGTAAATTGTTTTTGGGTTTCCATTTAATTATTCTATAGTTTTGGTTCAATCTTCATATATGTATTCTTTCAGTATCCCAGTAAATGACTGATTATCTGTCACGAAGCAAGCTCGCTACTAATACAGTGTGTTAGATAATTTTACCTTGCCTTGATGATTGACTGTGTAAGCAACTTGCTTTCTGCTCATGTGAAAATGGAACATATTTTTATCTCTTTTTCCTTCCTCACTTTCACTAGGGATTGACAGTAACAGAAAGGGATGATGTGTTCAGAACTGAGAGTCAGTCACAGACAACTTGTACTACACAAGATGACACAGGTGATGATCAATATACATGTGGCACAATGCATCAAGGCATACAGATTGGGATTCATGCCATTGACGGATCTTCTGCCAATACGAGTACATGTATACTAGTGATTGATAAATCTGTAGACTTTAAGGAACATTTGTTTTTGTGTGGATTCTTTAATCAATTGATTAGTCATGAGAGTGAATTGGAGCATCAGTATGTTCATAATACAGAGTGTCCATATGTCTGTGAAGTATGCAGTAAAGCATTCATGAAGAAGTCTTATTTGAAACGACATCAAGAGATACATAGTGGAGAACGTCCATATTCCTGTGATATTTGTGATAAACCATTCACACAGAAACAGGATTTGAATGCCCACAAACGTACACATAGTGGAGGGCGTCCATTTTCTTGTGATGTCTGTTATCAGTCATTTAGACAGAAGAATACACTAAATGTACATAAACGCATACACACTGGAGAGCGTCCATATTCCTGTTGCGTGTGTACAGAATCATTCCGTCACCAAAGGACTTTGAAAGAGCATGAACACATACATAGCGGAGAACGTCCATATTCTTGTGGTGTATGTAATAAGTCATTTAGTAGCAAAAGGAACCAGAAAGTGCATCTATGCATACTGGGGAAAGACGTTATACCTGCAATGTTTGTATCACATATTTCATTAACCCGTTGCCGTGGTTCGTCGTGTATGTTTCGTCNGAAGAAGGATTTGAGGAGACATCAACGCATACATATGGGGGAACATCCGTATTGTTGTGGTGTGTGTAAAAAGGCATTTATTAGTAAGTCTGATTTGTGCCGTCATAACACACATTGTTGAGAAAGTCCATATTATTGTGATGTATGTAAGAAATTTTTTCATTGACGTTATAATTTGAAGACCCATCAAAAGTGCATACACAGTGAAAAGCCTCTCTATTCTTGAAATGTGAGTAATGATCCATTCAGTAACCAGATATCAGTGCCCATCTTGAGTTGTGTTTATATTTGGAATTACTGGCTTTTTTAACTTTGGCCATCATTCAGATAATAATTAGAAACAAACTGAATGTGTTGAAGTGGGGCACTTAACATGTAGTGAACAGCATATTTATAAATCTTTTCAGGAACAAAGAACATAACTGTGTCTACTAAGTTTTCATATCACAAAAGGAATGCACAGCTGAGCCCTGAGGATCAGTGACTTCATGCACCTGTTATGAGTATCAGTGAAGAAATGTACATGAGTTAGATATATTATGAGAATAAAATTAAGCCACTGTCTTTGAAAGGAATATATAATTCTTGATCATATATAAATTAAATAAAGAACATAAAATGCTTTTGATCTAGGAAAGAATTTTCCAACAGCATAAAATTGTGTGGCATGTTTTACAAAGAATTAGACCATGCATATGTCATAATGTTCACTTCCAACTATTCCTTATATAATACCAAATACAAAAGAAGATTAATTTGCTACTAACTCACAAATATGTGAACCTCGGGTAGATTCTAAAGGGTTCTGACAGTGCTGTATAACATGCAGAATTACTGGATTTTCAGACTTTCTCAGATGTCAGCCAGATATTCTAACCAGATGTCTCTTGGATGGGAATCAGAAACAATGGTTCGACTAAAATACAATACTAGGAAGTAGTCTGAATGATATGTGAAGACTAATGGATACGTTTTTGCTGAAAATCATGTCTTTGCCACATATATTATTAAAGATCTGCCTGGCACAGTACTGTAGCTGTAACAGTATTCTGTAAAAGAATATATGTTGCTTGAGTATATATAAAATATTCTTTTCTGGACATAGTATTTATTGAAACCATTATTAATGTTCCCTCTTGCCGTGATGTTCCTGTCAGAGTCTGTTCTTTATTATCCATCATTTTCAGAATACCTGTTTGATCTTCTTAATATCCACCTTCGTTCTCCTGCTACTTGATCTTTGGGGAGAAGACTATTCCGGATGACATGATTGGTCTGTTGCAGAATGTTTGCAAATTGGAGCATGCATATACCAGGAAATACTGCATCAATATTCCAGAGGCCAATTTTATATATGTTCATGAAATAAAATGGTATTACTTTTGAGGTCTTCATGACTCTAAAGTTTTATATATTGACTTTTGGGTTGTGACACCGTGTTTACGAGAGTTTTCGAGGCAAATGCTTTGAGGATATAGGATCGTCGAATGTGAACATGGAAACAATATTTATGCGAAACGCTAAAATTACTAACGAAACAGCGCGCTATCACAGCCCACAAGAGTGTTATTTAAACTAATAGATTTCACTACGTTTTAACTTCGCCTGCGATTGTCACGGCCTTATAGATTGTATTGTATACGATTCAACGCGGTTTACTTTGGAGAAAAGAAGTTCTGCTAGCTATGATTTTGTTTGGAGATGACTTCACTTCTTTTATTCGGCTTTGTAACCCATGTAACTTCTGTGTAATGTTTTAATGGTGTTGATGTATGTGATCAACTGTTTTTTTCTGTTGTCTGTGGGGGCACATGCGTGATAAGAATAGCTTGCAAAACTGTAGGATGGAGTAAGTACTGTAGTGCGTTGGTGAAAAATGTTAATAGGTTTGGCATGTAGAATTATATTCGTGCTTAATTATGAAGCACATGTAGCGTAGATTACTGATGTTTCATTATAGACTGCTGTATCCAGCTCCTACATATTTGGCATTTCGGTTTCAAATGCTGCTGAGTAGAAGGTTGGCAATAGGAATTTGGTGCAAAATAAGCAGCACGGCTTTCTCGTAGATTACTGATGTTTCATTATAGACTGCTGTATCCAGCTCCTACATATTTGGCATTTCGGTTTCAAATGCTGCTGAGTAGAAGGTTGGCAATAGGAATTTGGTGCAAAATAAGCAGCACGGCTTTCTCCTTTTCTTTGAACCCATTAATTCTATAGCTCTTGGTAATGCACTTTGTGGAGTTTATCACCATACTTATTTAGAAGTCTCGAAGTGTACTCTGTTCTTATTCAGATTTCAATTCACGTTTCCGAATTGTTTTCATTCTTACTGATCACGTGTAATTGGTGGCCAAGTTATGATGTGAAACGTGGTTATATCTGCAAACCACAATGCTGCTGGATCTACTATAATAAAACAGACTATTTGGGCATTAACACGTGACATAACTGTAGGAATAAAAGAATCTATGGAGGACTAGAATTGCATAACCATGGATCTTGTAACTAAGGTTTCACAGCAGTATTTTTAATACACGATTATGGAATCGTTGCAGCCAAGATACTGACGGAACTCTGAAATAACCAGCTAACATAATGACAGAGACAGATTCCAGCCTTTGCAAAAAAAAAAAGGAGATAGCTAATGCCCAAAAAATCGATAATTATATTAATATACCATCATCAGAAACTTTAGATCTCATCAACTGACAAGAACTCAGTACAATTATAATGGTGCATGAACAATTTGTGTAGCCTTTGGTCACTGTGATCTCATGACTGTTAGAAAACAGCCATAGCCAAAGCATGTTGGATGCTGCAATGTAGAACTACTTACATCGCCTGGTATGTTCAGTTTTGCATGTATGTGAGAACTGCTAGAAATTTTAGTAAGATTTATGAACTTGTGGGACATCCCACAAAATATTTTTTTTCAGTCAATTTTGGAGGCAGTCAAAATAGAACATGATTGATGGTTATGTTAATGGGTCTCATACGACTTTCTTGAGTGAAGGCGATTCCGTTGGTACAAAATATTGTGGACATGTTACACCATCTGAATTCTCTGTAAAAATGATTGAAGCTGAGGTAAGCCATGTTGTTTCACAGTCTGCTTGTTACCATGTCCGCCCATGTTTGTTTTCACATCTCGTGTAGTTTTCTGCATGGCAGGAATGCATTACTTGAGAGAAAGTACACAATTATTTTATTTAAAACAAGAGCAGGTTTTCCTCTTAAACCCTTATTAAGTCTGTATTTATTTAGATTTTCAGTTCATCCTAGTGCGCTGGATTATGATGTTCTAGTAGTGTTGGGAAGGAATGGAGTTAATGTTCTTAAAACTTCATTTATGTTCACATATTAGGAAACACGATGAATGTTGCTTGGATTGCATCTTAAGTTTAGATCATCCCCTCTGCAGGTATAATCATTTTCACCACCATTTTGTCATCACGAGAAAATATAAATCCCTTCCTTGGAGTGGTTCCTGCCTTGATGCCTGCCAGTCATGAAGATACCCTAAATTTCTGTATCCATTCTTGATAGCATGGACTGGTCTGCATTATTTCTTACTTTGTCTCAGCCAAGATGTTCCACTTAGTCCATTATTATCTTTATTATCTTTCAAGTCTTCAATCTTAGAAGTTTGTGTATGACAGAAGAAATACACATACAGTTAGGCATTTCAGCTTACTGTTTTTTTTTTTTTTTTTTGCAGGGGGGTAAAGCAGGGACTCAAGGGAACATGTCTCAAAATTGAATGGTGGGATGCATTTACTCCCCATATTCTTGTCACAAGTACTTGTTTTTCTTTTATAGCAGTGTGTGCAGGTATGGAAGATTTGTCTGGCAATGGTGTATCACTGATGCTTGCTAATGATACTGCAATTTCCCAGAACACCGTGGTTTTGGTGAAGGTTGAACCTAATTCAGATAGTGATACAAATCTGGCATCTCATCATGGTGGAAATGAGTTCATTAGTATAAAAGTTGAAGAGGGCACACACATAGAACAGGACGAGGATCCTTTGACATCAAAATTTCCTGAAGTAAAGGCTGAACGTGAGGTGGGTACATGTGTCCTGTACTCGGTGCTTCTCCAGTATACTTCTGAGCCTTTTATTTCCGGCATCTTCCTCTATCTCTCAGTTCACATGAAGTTATTCCAGTGTCTGTATACTGATTTTGAAGATAATGTTTTATCCAAGTTTGTATTTTGTTTAACATTATTAATAGAGTAACAGTAGCTGGTCACAGTAGACATGCGTCCTAAGGCATGAACTGTCTTCGCTTGCTGAGACGCTGGGATTGTGGGTTCGAATCCAACACAAAGCATGGATGTTTGGCGTGTGTGTGCGTTTATTATGTGTTTGTGTTCTGCGTTCAGGTAGTGGCCTTGCAACTGGCTGATCACTCGTTCAAGGAGTCCTACCATCAGTGAAAAATGATTACGGAACTGAATAAGAGGCCTGGGCCCCGAATGGGCTGAAGAGCCATTGAATAAAAAATGGAGTAACAAACTCATGCCAATTTTTTTATTACATTTCATTATGTGTTATCGATACTAATAAATACTACAAATGATATAATATAAACTCCATCCCAAGTGCAAACAATATATTATGTGTCCTTGATCTTGCTCCTTTACACTACATGTTTCGGCCTCAGACGGCCATCATCAGGTGTATAACACTCACGTTGCTGTCACACTGCACCCAGCCCAAAATTTAACATTTAAAAACACTTTCCTTGTTATTACCAACATCTACTTCGTTGATATCTGTCTGGTTTGTAGATTATTTTACACACGTTAATTTTGACTTTCCTGTAGTAGCACTATAAAATCTTTAGTTCTAATTTTAAAATCCTTTAAAATTTTTCTCTAAATTTTAAAATTTAAAATTGTTAGGGTTACTCGCCCTATGTCTAAAGTGCTGCAGCGGCTAGTTCTTGTTTCCAGCACTGTACAGTTATTTTGTGTAGTCTTCCTGTGTGCGTGCTGCTGCTATTCTTTACTACGTGTGCTCTTTAGACATAGGGTGAGTAACCCTAACAATTTTAAATTTTAAAATTTAGAGAAAAATTTTAAATGATTTTAAAATTAGAACTAAAGATTTTACAGTGCTACTACAGGAAAGTCAAAATTAACGTGTGTAAAATAATCTACAAACCAGACAGATATCAACGAAGTAGATGTTGATAATAACAAGGAAAGTGTTTTTAAATGTTAAATTTTGGGCTGGGTGCAGTGTGACAGCAACGTGAGTGTTATACACCTGATGATGGCCGTCTGAGGCCGAAACATGTAGTGTAAAGGAGCAAGATCAAGGACACATAATATATTGTTTGCACTTGGGATGGAGTTTATATCATTATATCATTTATTGTATAGAGTGCAACAGGATGCTTAAATATAATACTAATAAATACTGTTGCATCAGAAGGTCTGTCCATAATTTCAAGGCTCTGCTGTTACAGCAGTGTATCTTTTTGGTCTGCCTCCTGCCGTTGGAACTTTCAGAAAGTTGTGGAACATGGATTTACAAATGTTTGGATAGTCTTGTTTACTTATTTTACATTTTTGGTACACCCCACAAAGAGAGATTCTCAGTGTCCCAGGAAACAGTGGAACAGTTTCTTTGAAGCATACTTATGTGTTATGAGATAGTTTAATAATATATTGAGTGAGTCCCATTATTACTCTTTAAGTGCATTTAATGAGTCTGATAAACATTCTCTCAGACTTGTTAATTCCTAGTTTAAGTACCAGGGGTGAGATACGTATTGGAACAATGAACATTGAGGTAAGGTACAAATAATTGGATGACTTTTTTTTGTGTGTGAATATGTTGTATACTGGAAGATAAGTAGAGCAGATACTCCTATCAATTTTTGAGCAGCTAGTGGGTGAATTCATGCTCCCCTGTTCACAGTCCACACAACTTATTTATGGGGAACCATGAACTGAACCGAGCCTTTGTCTTTTCTAGGCTCATGGACATCAGGCCATCAGTTCCTTCCTGATGGGTATCCATCTTGGCCGTCATCTGTTCGTGGCTGGCTTCGATTATTTCTTTGTCATGAGTCATTTCTTCTTGCTTTCCATTGGTCATTCATTTGGTGTCAGTTGCTAACCAGCACTGGTTGTCTCTTTCCTGGTCCATTTCTTCGCATGTAGCTGGTTCCCCTCTAGTGTCAACACATTTGCTGTCAGTAGACCTTTTGTTCCATTGTGGGGTGGTTGGCCCTTCCCAGACTTCTTGGTCGCATTTGCTGGACACAGGGATTTTCTGGCTGCCTGCAGCTCGAGGTCCTAATTGAGTGCCTTCTTAGGTGCCAAGATTATTATTATTATTATTTAATAAAAACTAATAATTTTACATAAGAAGCATTACTTTCTTCCATAACCATCCACTTTGTAAATCAGCTCACTGTGTAACCCAGGCAAGACATTTATGGATGTATAGATTGTTTTAGATTTGTATAGATTTGTTTTAGATTTCGTTTGTGAAAAGTGTGTACTTTTTCAATCTCATTAACAGTCAGTATACCAGATATCACATTCTTGAAGCAGTGTTTTCTGAGGTAAAACGTTTTGTAGTCTGCTGAACGTCAACTAGTGGTTCAGAGGAATATACAGCCTACATTTTCAGGGTGGAATAGTCTGCCTGCTGCATACTTAATGCTGGTTTCTTTCTTGGCTTGGTGTTTGTCCTGAAGATGGAGGCGGTATGTTCCTCCAAAATGCCAGTTGTTTTCATCTGACTACATACTGTTATATATTAGAGGATAGATATTTTCAGAATGTGTGTGTATATACATGTGCTGTTCGTTTGTTTGAACAATTGGCCTAATTTAGAACTTGTTTGTACTCCTGTGCAAATTTATCGTGCTCTTATTTTCCCCGTACTTTGTGTCCACAGGGGTTGACTGTAGTTGAAGAAGTGGAAGATGCATTTAGAGCAGAGAGTGAATTACAGGATACTTGCGCCACACCAGGAAAAGGCACAGATTGTTCACTATACACTCATAAATGCGAAATTTGTAAACATTTATTTACATCTCATCATAAACCTCATGATATACAAAATGAAAATTATTCATACTTGTGTAATTTTTGTAAGAAGTCTTCCACGCACCACAGTATTCTTGAGAATCATATTTCTCCCTGTAGTGATGAACGTACATATTGTTGTGAGGTTTGTAATAAATCATTTACTGAATATAGTGTGCTTGTAGAACATCAGCAAGCGCACATTAGAGAGTGTTCATATTCCTGTGATGAGCGCAGTAGATTATTCAGCCAGGAGAGTTATCTAAAACAACATCAACACATTCATACTGTAGAGCGTCCATATTCATGTCGCGTCTGTAATAAATCATTCATTCAACAAAACCATTTGAAACAACATCTGCATATACATAGTGGACAACGTCAATTTTTTTGTGCTGAGTGTAATAAAACATTCAAACAGCAAAGTACTCTGAGTCAACACAAACACATACATCGTTCACACCGTCGGTATTCGTGTGATGTATGTAGTAAATCGTTCAGTTGGCAGAAAAGTCTGAAGGATCATCAACGCCTGCATACTGGGGAGCGTCCGTATTTCTGTGATGTATGTAATAAATATTTCATAAGACTTCATAATCTGAGGACCCATCGACGTATACACAGTGGGGAGCGTCCATATGCGTGTGATGTCTGTAAGAAATCATTTAGTCAGCAGACTAGTCTGAAGGAACATCAGTACATACACAGTGGGGAGCGTCCATTTAGTTGTAGTGTGTGCGATAAATCATTCACGCAGCGAAGTACTTTGAAGGAGCATCAACGCATACATAGTGGGGAGCGTCCATATTCCTGTGGAGTATGTAAGAAGTCATTTAGACATCACAGTGGTTTGAAGAGACATCAGTACATTCACACAGGAGAGGTTTCCTACTCCTGTTTAGTGTGTGATAAATCGTTTAGTCAGAGAAGTAAACTGAAGGAACATCAACGTGTGCACAGTGGGGAGTATCCATATCTTTGTGATGAGTGTAATAAATCATTCAGGAAAGAAAGTCATCTGAAGCTACACTTACATGCTGCGCACAGTGCAGAACGCCCTTATTCCTGTGAAGTTTGTCACAAATCTTTCACTCAGCAAGGAAGCCTGACGGCACATCAGCGTGTACATAGCAGGGCGCACCTTGTATATTCCTGCAATGTGTGTCAGAAATCGTTCATTAAACAGAGTCATTTGAATTTACATCAACAGATACACAGCGGGGAACGTCCATATTCCTGTGGAGTGTGTAATAAATCATTTGGTCGGAAGAGTAGTCTCAAGAGACATAAAGAGATACATAACGGGGGATCGATACCTGTCTGATATGTAGGAAATTGTTTTGCCATGGATATAGTTTAAATGAATATGAACTGATATGCCTACTATTGTCTGCTCTGAGAAAGAATGGACATGCGGTGGGAGTTGAAGCTGGTCATCTACTCCCCCACTTTATGTGCACTGCACATCTCAGCTCTGTCAGCTTCCCAGACTCATCTCCGTGTATGAGGAAGCAGGTGATTACTTCATTTTTAATCAGTTATCATTTTACAGTAAGGTAAAATTGTCTGTGTGCTTGCCTAATTAAGCACTATGCCGTGAAGGCGTATGGGGGAGTGGATGTATAGATCCACATTTCTCTTGACTTCGGTACTAGCTGGAGGTGAGTCGTCAGCTTCTTTACCGCCAGTGAAAGAGCCACTGGTACTCATTGGATAGGAGGTTGGGTCTGGATGATGTAGAGAGGAGAAAGTTCTTGATCCTACCAGAACGTGAACTCTGATCTCTCGGTTGTCCAGCCCATAGCCAGTCGCTATACTGACTGAGCTATCCCGGCTCCTCACATTCATCCCGTAGCCAGTCTCTATACTGACTGCGCTATCCCGGCTCCTCACGTATAGCCCGTAGCCAGTCGCTATACTGACAGCTATCCCGGCTCGTCACGTCCAACCCGTAGCCAGTCGCTATACTGATTGTGCTATCCCGGCTCCTCACGTCCAGCCCATAGCCAGTCACTATACTGACTGTGCTATCCCGGCTCCTCACGTCCAGCCTGTAGCCAGTCGCTATACTGACTGCGCTATCCCGGCTCCTCATGTACAGCCCGTAGCTAGTCGCTGTACTGACTGCGCTATCTCGGCTTCAGATCATTTTGCAGTAAATATTATAATTCCAATCAAATGAAATGATGTAATTGTACTGGACATTCATAACTGACCAGACTTGGTATACAAGGGACAAGTGGGACTGGACTAAGTAATTGATATGGAGACAAGGTGGGAAGAATTTTTCTTTATTAATTTCTCTGCCTGGAATGTAGTTACCGTTGAATGATATGTTTATATTTAACTGTTGCATGCTTTGTATTATGGTTTGCAGCATCAATTTTTAATTATGATGTTCTTTATGAGCTATCCATCACGGATGCATATTATGAAAATGGTAATTGATAATTATGTATTCTTAATAATCACAAATAATAATTAGGACTGACAGTACAAATTGTGCTCCTTGTGGTAGGGCTTTGAGTTTTAAGAATATAAAATTCTGTGAATTGTGATGCCTCATGTCAGTCAACCACAGTTAACTAAGCTTCTGTGTCTTTTGTGTATTTACTTTTTATTTCATTCCCTCCTTCCCTTTGAAGCCTTTCATTCTGTGTTCCATTTCAGAGAGTTCCCAAAATGGCTCCCACAGTTTTGATTGAAACAAGTGAGACTCCTGGAGGTTTACAGAAGGCAGGCAAATGTTTGGCAAGCTTATGTTGTAAATTGGTCGTCACACAGAACACTTGACTAGTGTCCAGAGATATGGAGAGAAAGTTATAGAGTCATGCTATCTTCACTTAGGTAACAATTATTTCAATTCCATAAATAAACACTGTGTGCAGTTCAGTTAGTGATCTTTATTCAAATTCAAAAGAGACACATAAACAAAAGAAAAATACTCCATGGCTTGTAGTCAACTTTAGCAGATAGAAGGTGTCGCGTGGTCAGTGCAACGAATCCAGGCTGGATGTTCATTTCCTAGGCCTCATTTGTATTTACAGTATTTTTTTCTACAATAAAAGAATCCCCACTTCATCATCACCTGTACAAATCCATGATTGATGCCTTCTCTTAGAATGTACAAAATTAATTGATGTACTGAATTTCTGCTGCTACTGGTTTTCATATACAGATCATAAGGGACAGGAGAACTGGGTGTTTTGATTTTTTTTTTTTTTCCATCGTCTCGCATGATAGAAAATAGAAAAAACACAGTTTTGGGAACTGGGTCTGTTTCTGTCCTCAGGTGAGTTGGGGGGGGGGAAGACACATCCTCAGTTGGGACTCTTAGAAAGAGCTAATATCAATCACTTCTAAGGGGCACAACTGAGTAGGTGTCTTCCCCATGATTGAGACCAGCCCTTTGTAAGGGGCTCAACTGAGTAGGTATCTTCCCCCACTTAAGGACAGAAACACCCTGTTTCTGAAACGTCGTGTTTTCTATTTTCTGGAATATGAGAAGATGGAAAAAGGTCGAAAATCCGGTAATTCTGTGTGATATGCACCGTTGTCAGAACTCTTTAGATTAGGCATGTCCGACTTTAAATATGTTGTGATCGACTTTTTAGTGTCAAAACTGCTAGTGATCTACAACCCCCTCCTATCGTGGTACCTCACTTTAAGCAAAAATATTGATAAAAATAACACGACACATGTTTGTTGTAAAAGCAACTACAGTGGTAACTGGGCTGTGTCAGATGTCTGTAGATTCATCCAGTTGCAGGGAGAAAGCAACACAACTGGAAACATCTTTCAACAACTGTTCAGTTATGTTTCCACACATCATTTCTATTCGCCCCACAGTGGTGTTTCTTGATAATAAAAAATCTTGAATAGTAGCTATGATCTCTTATGTTATATTACAAGTGAATTTACATGCGTTTCACGTATAATTTCTTTATAGGCGTATGAGATCGACCAAAAATCGTCCCGCGTTCAATGCGTTGGACATGCCTGCTTTAGATCGAAAGAGGTTTATAAAACTATGGCAACTGGTTCTTTTTCGATTTCAAATTTGTGGGATTAAATATTGTGGCTAGCGGCCTCCGTAGTCTACAGGTAACGTTCCCACCTCATGACTCGTAGTACGGGGGTTCAAATACCCGGCGGAGGTCGTCGAATTTTTAAGGGCGGAAAAATTCAGGGAACAAGTCCTCAGGGAGGGACTTTAAGCCGTGGGTCCCTTGTCGTAGCTTTACGGCACGTAAAAGAACCTCATATCTCCAAAGGAGGTCACTGAGCCAAATTAACGGACGTTTCCCGCCCAACAGCAGTCTCTAATACCTCTGGTAGATGGGGGAAGCATTATAATGCTTATATTATATCTATAATTATAGATACCTCTCAGCTAGTAGAGCCGGTCTCGCTGGCTGGGCGGGACTGATGGTAAGCACCAGTACCGGTAGGATATAGAGACTGGTAGAAATCATAAGAGGGAAGCACAATGGACCAATACAGGTCTCAGTGCATGGGGAAACCCACCCTCTCTAACAAATAACTAACTAAATATTGTGGCTTATAGACACGTTGCTGAGCGGTGAATCTGTGAACAGCAACCGTTGCTTGGTACCTGGCGGTAAACACGGCAATAATACCCGGACTATTGCTAGATAACCGCCTATAACAACAATGGAAGTACTGTTGGACTATAACAGTGGAATAAGTGTTTTCTATGTATTTCGTGACGAAGTGGATAGATGGTAGTTGTTAGTTGGGATTGAAGGAATTGACAGGAGTCCTGCACGGGCGGTTGTGACAGGAGGACCTGAACGCGGGAAACAGAAGGATCTGCACTGTTAGAAGCCGTTGGCAGGGAACGGCTGTAAAAGACAGCGGGTGCTGTGGTAATTTGCGAAGTGTGGTGTTTGGCGGTGGTTCTGTATTACTTGGAGTTCAGATTGGTGTATGTATAAGTGGTCACTAAGTCCAGTATTCAATTCATAACCCATCTATGGTCACCGTTAGAAACCCCCCTCCCCAACACGTGACAATATGTTATGGCACCGTCACTAACGAACATATCTGTGTACTTAGATGGCGCTTACTCCAGCAGCTAAAAGGTTACAGCGGCTCCGGTCTAGAAAAGCGAAATTAACGGCCGTGGGGATTCGTTGCGCTGACCACGCGACATCCTCTATCCGCGGAGGTTGGCACTAACTTCGCCGACAAGCGGCGGTTGGTCGGACGGTATAGTTCGTTTGCGGACAAAATCACGGAGTTTGTTTTGTGTAAAATTACTCGTGATGTGCAAGCTGATTAGGCTTTCGTGAAAATGTAGTTAAGCAATCTGTTCTGCAGTTTCTGAGGTAAGTCCATATATAATGATTTTAGTACATTGGCGAGGTATATACGATGGTATAAATGAACAGCGCATGTCTTAATGCTCGTTGGATCAAGCTTGTTGCCACAGGCATATTTATTGTAAATAGTTTTTCATTACGAATGCAGATTTCCCACCTTTTAGTAGATGGGAACCGCATTGTACCTATTTTCACATTAATTCATGAAAGTCGGAATGCAGTTTCGTGTAATTAACTGAGTGAATATTGAAATTAGCAAAATCTGCTTGATACGTTCCATATCGAAGGTTTTTTCTTTCTGTATGTAGTTAAAAGAATCAGATTTGTTTAACGTTTACAGTTTAATGCTTCGTTACTAAACGTTGGTAAGTATTTATAGGTTATGTTATATTTAATTTTATAATTTAGCATAGGTCTGAGGGTAAAAGTGGAGATGAAATAACTGATTTCAAAGCTAAGTGAACGTAACCCAGTTACGTCTGATCTCGAAGATGCGTGTATGTGGGATAAAACATCGCAATAAAATGTGCTGGTTGGAAACATATTGTGTGTTAACCGATCTGACGTAACTAATCGGCCCAAGGGAACTATAGCAATGAATCAAGACACTAATATTACAGCCTACCATTAGACATGGTGCAGAAGCAGTCCCTCAAATTGTAATATAATCATCAGCAACCATCTCCTTTATGGTCATCCAAGTAGATTCCATCCAAGAGAATTCTCAGCTATAACAGTGTGTTTCGTGGTTAACTGCATGGCTGTGTTATATGCCAGTTTGAGGCTGTTACTAGGCTCAGACATCTCTTCTCCCCCCCACCCCCCACAAAAAGGTAAAGCTATCCCTGTAACAGGTTGTGGAGGCCCATAATGTTGTGAGACATCGAGGCTCCCACATTTTCTGGACAGTTGACTCACAGATGGCAGTGAGGTCAGCTTTAAGCGCCAGCTGCCATTTATCCCCAGGAAGATTCCTGGTACGCATTTCTGTTAGAGGCTGAGTCGACTCCAGGGTTATATTGTGGCTGGGAGTATTAGATCAATTGAAAAATCCAGTGACAATAATTAGGAATTGAACCCATGACCTTCTGGCTTGAAGCGTAGTGCCTCAACTGTGTTACCGCATGAACTACTAAAACTGTTTATATTACATATAATTTTGTATACAGGACTGAGTAAGAGAACTGTCGCTGGATATTATCACACTTCGGTTAGCTTAGATTAATGGTTGGCTGGGATAAGTGATCTAATTTCTGGTTCTCATGGCAATGACTGTGAAGGGTATCGTCTTGGGGGCGTGATACTGTGTAGTCCGATATGTTCAATGATGTGTCATGTCTTCAGTAAAAGAGCAAGTCAAGCAAGGAAATAACAATAAGCAGGAAGCTCAGCTTTTAGATTTAGACGTGCTTAGTTCAAGTACTGT